AATTAAAAAGCTTATTATTATAATAATAATAATCTTTTTAAAAGATTTCTTTTCTAATTATACTAGTACTCTTTCTTCATTTAGTTTTATTTCTTTAATTATACAAAGTTAATTTTGATTTTTGGATTATAATATTATATTGATTTTTGATTTTTGATATTGTTTTGAGAGTAAAAGCTCTCTATTATAAATAAGCTATACTTTTTATTTTATTTATTTTAAGAGTAAAAGATCTCTATTATAAATAAGTCATATTCTATTTTTGTTTAGTTATTTAGTTTTTGAACTTTAATTTTTATCTTTTATTAATTATAACCTTCTTTGATTAATAGTAGTTTTACTCTTTAATCATCTCAAATCTTGAATTATACTAATTATTAGTGAGTTTACTAACAAATCTTTATAATTTCTTTGATTTATTTTATTCTTTCTTTATTATTTTACTCTTTATAAAGATAATATTTATAAATATTGATATAGATCTTAGAAATCTTTATCATTATTGAAAATATAGTCTAATTTCTTTCTTTTTATTCTTTAATTATTTCAGTCTTTCTTAATTTTATATTATTAAGATGAATTCAAGTAAAAACTCACTTATTAATTTGTTATAATAATACTATTTTACTATATATATAAAAATTATATTACAAGTAATTCAAAAATATAGATCTCAAATAAAAAGAATTAAGATATAATATTTAAAAATAGAAATATAATAATAAGTATAGTAATAAAAAATAAATATATGATATAAAAATAAAGATATTTATAAAATAAATATAAAATTATAGAAAAATAGAATTTCATATAACTAAAGAAAGATTATAAAATTAAGAAATTTTATATTACTATAATAATAATAGAATTAAAAAATTAATTTTATTAATAAAATATAATAAAAATAAAAATTTTCTTTTTATATTAAAGTTTTAATTTTATATTAAATAAAGTTTATATATTATAATTTTTTTAGATTTTTTATTTTTACTAAAAGAATTATTTTAATTATAAAGTTATTATAATCTTTTTTTTATTAAATTTTATTTTTAATTAGAAAATATTTCATAATAACTTTATAATTAGAATAATTCTTTCAAAAATAATATAAAAATTTTATATTAAATTATAAATAATAAACTTAATTTTAATATAAAAATAATAATTATAAATTTTAATATAAAATAAATTTTAATTTTATTATTTTTATTAATAAAATTAAATTTGTTAATTTATAATTTTAAGAACTATTATAATTTTAAATTTTATTATATTTATTAAATTATAATTCAAATCATACTTAAATTTTTCTAAAAATTAATATTTAAAATTAGTTAATTAATAATTTTAAATTAAATATAATATAATTATTTTAAAAAATATATTATTAATATAATTATATCTCTCTAAGTACATCCCTCTTGGAATCATAGTAACAAAAATAAAAAGTGTGCATTTAGAGAAAATATATATTTATAAAGATCAAAATATATAGATCTCTTATAAATTAGGATCAGAATATATCATATATTTAGAGAGGAGTTATATAATACATGCATTTAGAGAGGATGCAATTGTATAAATTTATAATTTATATAAGATTAATATTAAATTAATTCAAGCAAATATCTTAAATTCAATCTAAAGTTATTTAAAATATTTGTTTAATTTTAAAAAAATTTATTTAATTATAGTTAAATCTTTTTATAATCAAGCAATAAAAAAAGATGTGACTATAGAAATTTTTAATTATAACTAATTAATAACTGGAAAATTCAAAAAAAATAACTTTAAGCTAATATAATTATAGAGAATATAAAATTATAAAGATGTCTAATTATATATTAAATATCAAATTATATTATGAAAATATTTGATATTTGAATCTATTTTTTCAAAATTTTCTTAATATTTGAATTTAGACTTGAATCTAATTCAAGTTTCAAAAATTCAAATATCAAGACTAAATTTATATTAAATGATAATTTATTATTAAGTTTATATTTTTATTTATTATATAGAGATTTTATTAAGATATTTTATTAATATATTTAAAATTTATAAATAAATAAAATATAATCTTTTTAGTAAAAGTTTATTTATTAAAGGGTACTTAACTCACAGAATTTTTATTTTTTTTAATTAAGCATTAATCTTTAGCAAATTAAAGAGATATAAAGTTCATTATTAGTAGTTATTTGAAAGTTAACATTTTTTTGATAATATCTAAAAATATTTTTCTCAGCTTTTTTATTATTTTTATGAAATTTGAATAACATTATAAAACGTAACTTAATTATAAGAGTATTAATAAAAAGACAAGATAATTAAGTTATAAAGTTATGACTATTTTAAATACCAAATGCAAATTTCATAAAATAACTTAATAAAATTTATCAAAAATCAATTCAAGAAAATCAAAATAACAACAGCAAGAATTTACTATTACCTAATAGTGATTTAAAATTCTTAATCTCATGTTTTGATTTGGATATATATTACATTTAAATTCCGTTCTAATTTAAATCCTCATTAATGAATTTTATATTATACACCCTAAAATTCCCTTTCCCTTTCTTAGTAAACCGCTCTCGGTACGTAATTAAGATGCAATTACATGTCATTATTCAATATATAATAAGTCAGAATCCGTTAGCTATGGCGATAAATTGACATTACAGACATGTATAAAATACACAAAGTATAAAATTATTATTAAAATAACTAAGGCTAAATAAATATTCATGGCAATAAATTATTTGAGCATCAGAGTATTCCTGCAGATGATTCTTTTTCGTGCCGATGAGCTCTATATGCTGCAACTACAGTCGCGAAATAAATCTATTTATAAATTAAATGCATATGTTAAAATTAATCCACTTAAGCAAGATAGATGCCGTCTCCCCCATGCAAAAAATAACTTACCGAGATAATAATCATAAACAAATCTTGGGCAATTTCGATAGGTACCAAGATATTATAGGTTGATAGACACATATCCTCTGTGTAATTTATACTTTCACAGTACTGAATATACGAATTTTTCCTTGAAACTAGGATGATTATTTCGGCGATGTTTATAGAGCATTGAATCAATGCAATTATCCATGCGATTATTACGTATTTTTGGAATAATCGTATTCTATTCTAGAAAACAAAATAGGAATCTAGTAATATAAGTATTGTTCTATAAAATTAATAATGTTATTCATAAATTATTTTTATAGATTACCGCAAAGCTCACGACGAGTAATCCATAAAGCGCACCAATTACAGTGAATAATGATAATATTCCCTCGATAATAGCAAATGTGGATACATATGAAAAGACTACCAAATTCAAAAAATTTGAATTTAGCAAGAAATATAATAATAACAATAAGAAGAATGATAAGAATGAAACAACATGCTCACAGTTATCTGTATTATTATTACGATTTTGGAATGCTAAAAAGTTAGCAGTAGCTTGATAAATACCGTATAACTAGTGATAAAAATAATACTGTAATTAATTATTTTAATAACGGTTCAAACAAACGAAATTTTATATGATAATACTTACAATCCATAATATACTAATAATTACTACACCAGTTTTTAACTTTAAGCAACAACAACATGATTTCATGCGTGGTGATTCTAGTGAAATAAAGGTTCCAACTGGTCGTGACATTATTTTTATTTTGATATTGCTATATTTAATTGATGACAATTGATATGCAAATAACTAGAAATTTCATTAATTTACAAAAAATACGATAGTATTATCTCGTAAATTACTGCCAAGATTTTTTCTCGAGTACCCTTTCACAAACGATTTCTTTAATTCATTTTTAATCCCCTTTTGTTCAACAAAACCGGTAAATGTAACGTATCCTCCCTTCACAAATGCTATCCTAAAAGTACATGCATTGATGGATGTAACAAGCATGTACATGTACATGTAAAATTGTGTACGCGAACATACAATCTGTGCTCGGTTCCTGACCCACATGATTTTCCCTTTTTTTGTCTTCTTTCGCTGATCAAAAATTCGCGCATCCTTATTGGTCTGTGCAGTGTAACGGTAATCCTTTGATCCCCGATGATTTTCTGCTGTGATATAATGTGAATTCTGTCTGTGGTTTAGGTCGTGATTTTGTGCTGTGCCTTGATCAAATTTGAGTAAATTCTATACTGTACTGTAATCGAAATTTTGTTATTCTGCAGTGAATTACATGATAGCCTGGCAGATTTTTGATCAGTATGTTTATTGGTGATGGTAAGATCAAAAAATCCTACGCATCGATTAAAATCCAGAGAATTAGTTATAGTTTTTTTAAGTTATTTTGATGAAAAATCAGTTAATTCGTTTTTGGCTAGACGTAAAAAAATCATATTTATTTTATAAAAAACGTAAAAAAAAGGTTAAAAAACTTTAAAAAAAAACTTAAAAAACGTAAAAAGACTTAAAAAGTTTAAAATGAAAAGCTATTTAAAATTAAAAAAAATAAGAATATCTTAAATTCTGTTAAAATACATCATGCTTAATTTTTTTAATGATTCTTGGGATAAACTTTGTCGGTCACTTGATAAAAGAGAATTATATAATAAAAAACTGCGTTCAACACTACAACTAGAAATTGGAAGCCAAATATAATCTAAAGTAATATTAGTTAAAATTAGTAATTGAATACTCAAATTTGCCAATATATATCTAATGCTATTTTGATACCATTATTATTTTTTAATCAACAATAAATAGCCTATTCCCAAATCAATCCATCAGATAGATTTGCAAGATTCAGAATATATGCATAACATTATATATCTTTTCTGAATATATTATTATCATGAATATAACTGGGATCAAAAACCTGGCAAGCTTGAAATAATTTGTGTGCAGAATGTTGAGGAATATGTATCTGGAATTTATTATAAATGCCAGAATTAAAATGAAAATTGTGAATAAGTGTTTCTAATTCAGATTCAAAGTATTGTGATGATTGATTTGAATATATGCTGTAAGTTAGTCCTCCATCAAAGAAAATAATGGTTTGTTTGATTGTTGAAAAAAATCAAGATCCTGAACAAACTCTTTAGCATAAATTGAAATAAAGTTAAGTATATAATAATAATGCCATAATGTTAACTATTTTGTAAATATTTTGCAAAGTTTGATTATACTGATCCATTTTATATTCTTCTTAATAAAATATTGGCCAGTATTGAATATAATCTTTTCCATAAAAAATCAGTTGGAACTAACTATTTCATCAAGCTATATATAATAAAGAAATTTTGTATAGATTTATAATTTTATATATTTAAGTAAGTAAAATAACAATTTCTTCTAGCAGATATATAAATAAAAGTTTCTTTAATTTTGACAAGAAAATTTTTAATATAGAGAATTCTGATAAAATTTGCTATATATCACTATATAATATAAATATATTAATATTTAAATTTATTTTAAAAAATAATTAAATATAATAATTAACTTATTTAATAAAATTATAATATCTATACAATATAATATATATTAAATTTGAGATATTAAAAATATTAATACTTTATAATAATATTTTTTCATATAGATAATTGAGTTATTTAAAAAATAAATAAGAGTAATTAAAGCATATATTATAAAATAAAAGAATTATTATAAGAGTTTAACTAATAGTTATATTATTAATTTATTCAAGAAAATCAACAGAAACTAATTTTATTATATTTCTATATATAAAAGAGTATTTACTATACCTCTTGTATAATTATAATGATTTCATTTATAATAATAGCTATTGATTTAGAATAAAAAAATATATATAAATTTTATTAATAATATTTAAAAATATGAAATAAAAAAATTTAATATAGAGTAAATATTTTTGAAATTATATTATCTTTTTTAAATATTTTTGAAAAAAAAGAAGTATATAATTTACTTTTTTAAGAAAAATATCTATTATAAAAAAAGTATAATCAAATTTTTAATAACTTAATTTTTAGAATTAATAGTTGACAGTATATTATAATTATAATTTATTATAAAGTTTGTTTATTAATTTTATATTTAGCTTTATTTATATTATATTTTTGGTTATTAAAATATCTATTTATTATTAATTTAGCTTTCTAATCAATTAATATATTATAAGAAATATAAAATATAATATTATTATTAATTTAAAAAAGATTTGAATATTTATTATTACTTAATTATATTATAAGTTTTCTTTTTTTTGTTTTATTATTATTAATTATTAATATTCATAAAATTACTTACTAAAAATACTAAAATAATTATAATATATTCTTTATTTTAATTTATATAATACTAATATTCTATAAAAATTATAATAAATAAGAATTTTATATTATTTTATAATAATTAAAAATAAATTATATATTTATTATAGAATTTTGTGAATTATAGAAAATAATTAGCTTTGATTTTATATTAAAATTAAGATCAATTAGCTAAATTTTTTTAATTATATATATATTTAAGAATATATAGTATTTATAAAAAGTATTATCTAATTTATATATATAACTATTTTTTAAAATATATTTATCTCTTTTTTAATAATAAATATTATTTTATTTATCTTTTATTACTTTATTAATATTATAATTTTATTAGATTAAAAATAATATTTATTATATATAGCTTAATAAAATTAAAAAAAGAAGATTTTAATATATATAAATATTATAATATTATATAAATTATAAAAATATTAAATATAATTCTATAATAATATATTATTTTTAAATAAATATAAATAAATTAGAAAAGTAAAAACTCATTATGCTTAGAAAAAATTACTAATTATAAATAATTACAAAAAAAATTTACTTGTTATTATAATAAAAATAATATATATTACTATATAAAAGAATTAAAATTTAAATTTCATTTGTAATTTATTAATTAGATAATAAATATTTTTAAGAATATAAAATTAAAACTTATAAATAAAAACTCAAATATAAAATTCAAAAATAAATATAAATATCTGTTAATAAAATTTTCAGATATATTATTATAACAAATTTGATAAGTAGATTTTTCTTGAATTTATCTTAATAATATTAGACTAGAAGAGATTAAATTAATTAAAAAGCAAAGAAAGGGGAATTAGACTATATTTTTAATAATGATAAAGATTTCTAAAATCTGTACCAATATCAAACTCTTGAAAAAGAACTTACTAAAAAGACTATTCACAAAAAGAAAAGTAAAATTGCTTTACCTGTACTTGCTACTAAAGATAGCTTCTTAACTAGTTGCAGCTTATAATAGTTAATCAGAGAATTGTGATAAAGTTGTGGCAACCAATTAGAAAATTATGACAGAGTTGTGACTAGTTGTAACTTCCATTACTACTTATTACCATGACTGAACTATATGATATTCTAGAAGATTTGGTCTAACAGAAAGCAAATATAACTATTACTCAGCTTATTCAGACTTTATCTTCACAAAGAATTCAATTATCAAAAGGAATATACTGAGCTACAATATTAAAACCAAAAAGAAAAAGAAGAGTATTACTTGGATAAAAACTTAAAACTACATCTGCTCAAAAGTTAAAAAGAATATTATTGATTTAATCATTAATATCAATGTCTCTAAATGTGTTATTATATATAACTTTATTAAAAATATGAAATTAAAAATATAACGCAGTTTAAATATTTCAATATCAAATATAAATAGAGTATCTAAACAATCTCTTGAAGCTATTAATAACCTACTCTTGAATATTGATCAAATTGTAATTCCTACTAAAGTAGATATTACTAAAGCAAAAATATACTTAGTAATTGTTGGCATGAACTTTTTAAACAAAATCAAAGCCAATATTGATATTAGAAAAGAATCATTCACTTTTGAATATAATAATCAAAAGAAAAAGTACCAATTAAATTTATCCATGATGATAGAGAAGAATCAATATTTGATGATACCAGTTCTGAAAAAGACAAATTAGAAAAAGATTCTGAAAGTGAATTTGAAAAATAATACTTGAAAAAGAAGACTTTTCTCATGTGATAACATGATGATTAAAATATTATAACCTCTAGATAACAAGAATTCCAAGATGATGATAATATTAAAATCATTACTAAAGAAGTCTAAATCCCTGTTAAAACTCCAAATCAAAGATTAAGAGATGTTAACTTTGGAGAGATACCATTTCAAATTATTCAAAATATTAAAAGGATTTATAAAATACAAGCTTATCAAGAAGAAATTAAAATTAAATGAAAGAAATATATCTGATAAGATTTCAAATAACTTAACAAGAAGTTTATCTAATAATGCAATTAGAATAACTAATGGTCATTTGACTGACAAGAATCAAATAGCTAATGCTAATACTATAGAAATCTCTTTATGCCTAATTATCAATATCACCAATACTATAATAATCTTGCTAACTGGATAATAATTAAAATTTATAAATCTTTTTATACTAAATTCAAAACTAATAAAGATTGGGCTGATGAAGTTGAACAAGAACTCTTTGTATACAAAAAAGTCAAGAAAAGCTTTGATATATATCAATCTGTCACTCAACAAATTTATTCTAATTCTCACATTAAAAGATGTCATAAATGTGAAAAATATGTAGATAAATATTATACTGAAATGTATTTAAAAATGAATGAAGAAAA